TAAAATAAAATTTGGCTTTATTTCAAACAGACAAATTCCTTCATGTTTATTTTCTGCAAAAATGATCTTTCTTCTAGTAATAAATGTCAATCATTTGCTATAGTTATTTATAAATTATATATGCTCATGATTTTATGTCATGAAATAAAATTGATCAATTGGCGACATGTATTTTTATTCCATATAAACTTTAATAAAATGAAATATGTACTAATGGATTTTAATGGCTGATAAATTAAAAATTAATTTGATTAAATTATTATTAAAATTTTAAGAATTTGATAAAAATTCCTATATTCTTCGATTTTTTTCATTATTATTAATTAAATAATCATTTAATTTTGTATTACAGGCTGCCGCAATGTGGCCTGGAGTATTGAAGTTATTGGTGTTATTAACATTCTTGCTACATCCATCAAGGTATGTTATTCAATACTTTTACATATCTTACATATATTGTTACATATTTCTATTCATTGAAACATGATTCTAAGAATACTTATAACTCTTGTAAGCATGAAATTTAAGACCAGGAGAAAGTAAAATAATATTATTTAAATGAATTTTACAAATCTATTTACTAATTCCGTTTTCTTCATCCCATTTTTTTAATCTTTAATTTTCTTATTTTATAATTTTTTTTTCTTTTTTCTTCATATTGGAATTCAATTAAAAGTTTGGATATTCAAATATCCAATCTTCAAAAATTTCTTTATCATTTTTTCACTTATTATTATACATGTTTTAAATTCAATTCAATGTAAAATTCAAAATAAAATAAAAATTGATGAGATAAGAATTGATCCAATTTTCATTCATGCATTTTCATTCCTGATTACAGATGTACGCAGGGAAAGGTGAATTACCGGGAAAAGGAGAAAGAAGTGTTAGACAACATTTTAGGAGGATACGACGCGCGTATCCGGCCCAGCGGAGAAAATGCAACAGGTGAATATGGATAAAATCTTTTTTTACGCCATTATTCCTTCCAGTCTTCCTTACT